AGAAATTGCTTAATAAAAAAATATTGTCATGTTTTGCTGGAGGTAGAGTATGCATATTCAGATGCTTTAAAAGTAGTACATCTTCCCCATTTATGATCTGAATCTCACAATTTGAAGATGATCTGAATCTCAAATTCTTTGTAGCGCCTTTTCATTGAAAGGTTATTTCCCTTTTACTGCCATCCTTGAGTGTCAGGCACCAGTTTGTGGGTGTCCATGTGCAAGTTAAATCAAACATCATCTTCACTCGGATGTGTGTCCTTCTTTCGCTATCAGTACATAGCAGAGACATCATAGAGACAGTGAGGATCGTCTTTGCGTTTTGCGGATATGCCATTAAATGGTCCTAGCTTGTCATACCCCTGGCTGCACTTTGCTATTAAAATGAAACACTTCCTATATTGACATTGCAAAACTATTTTGGTGAACTGTATTTTGGCAGGGAACAGGGGGAGGAGCATGCAGGGAGAGGAAAGGGAGGGGAACTTCTGTTGGACTGTCAGAAGTCCTTGAACATGACTGGATATTGCCCACATATCTTGTACTGTGCAGACAAGCCATTTGAGCATTTCAGGGATGGTGAACCTGTAGCCCACCTGATGTTGTTGGATTCCAACTCACATCAACTTCAGCAAGCAAGAGGTTATAGGAGTTGCAGCCCAGCAACTGCTAAAGTGCCACAGGTTCCCCATTGCTTCTGTATTTCTTTTTTTAAATGATAGGGAGCCTGCCCTTTGCCATGCACGATACCTACTTCTGTAAGTATTTGTTGGGATAAAGTAGCACACCAAACTATTCCTGCTTCCCAACCATTTTCTGTGTTAGCTGATACTCATGGAAAAATAATGTGGGAGTAGGTTTTCCTTTCAACGTGAGCTCAGCCATCACTTCCTAATTTTCATCCTTTTTCTACAGTCTTCCTGATTACTTCTCATTCCTCTAAGACAGTTCAGTGTTCAAAGAACTTCACAGTTCTTATTTTGTTCAGTGATCTTCACATTGACCCTCTGAGACAGGTGAGGCTAAGGGGAAATGAGTGACTCAAGAGCCTATATGCTGAATTTTGTGTGAGAGTGGGTTTTTGAACCAGGATCTCCCACATCCTTCAAAACCAACAGTCTTTTCATTGCCACACACTGGCCTCCCCACTGTTTCCATGCTGTTTTTCATTTGAAGGAAAAGTTCTCAAATATAAGATGTGAAGTGACCATGGTGGCCTTCGAATACTTCAAAATACAAATCCTCATGAAATTGAACCTTTGCTTCATCTCTAGGCTTCTAGGAGTATAGCCACTGCAGGCAAGATTTTTACTTTTTTAAAAAAGCAGTTTGTTTGTTTCAGAATATTTAAAGTATAATACATTCCTCGACAAGTAGATATTTTGGGGGGGGAAATCCTTCTTGTTTGTTTGTTTGTTTCATAAAGCAAATGCCTTAGAAGCAACGACATTTAGAAGTGTACGTCTCTGGACAGAACTCTCTAGAAGCTTAAGTAACGAAATAAGGATGATTGGATCTGACGGAATGCCCAGTGGGGACAACATAAACCTACAGACAGAAGTAGAATTTTCAGCTCCTTAAGAAGGGCAAACAAATAACCTGTCTTAAAGCATATACAGTATGTCCTTCACTGAGAGAAGCCCCTGGAGATACCTTGCTTCACCTTAGTTAATCAGATGCATAAGGATAACAGTTAGACAAGCAGATAACTGATTTTTATCGGCTAGAAACTGATGCTTTCAAGGTCTATGCTACTGTTGCCTCTTCAGTAGGTCT